AAGATGGAGAGGTGTCTTTGTAGCCTGTAATCTTTGATTTCTGGGTAATTTGCTCAAAATGTAGATTTTCTCTATTATTTGTGTTCTTTGACATTATAATACCCAAATATTTAATGTCATTTAACAGCTATGTTAAGAGAGCTACTAGGTCACAATCACGAATAGTTAATAATCTCATTTTCTAATATTCAGGTACAAACCAGAAGCCTTTGAGAAAAGTGAAATTTCATTCATGTTCTATAAAACTGACGATTCCTCGTCTAACATTAAAGCGTTTAGATGTTCCAAAAGGTAAAGAACAGAACTATTGAGTCAGAGTATAATAAAGAAATTAAATCTATGAAGTTTTGTTTACCAAAACCAAAATAGGGTAGAGCTTTTAAAATAAAAGGATGTTCGACCGTATCAAATGCCTTATAAAAGTCTAAAAAAAGAATCACACCATCATCTTCAATTAAGTGATTAGAATCCAGTAGATCTACAACCAATCTAATATTATGGTCGTAGATATCGATTAGTCTTTTATCTTTACCAGGTTTGGGAATAAGGGAGATAAGACCCTGTTTCATTGTCGTTGCTAACATTTCATTACTAATGATTTCAGTAATAGTTTTGAAGAAAAATTCTTTATTTCTTTCCAGAAGAATTTATAAAAGATTGCAGTCAAGCCATCCTGACCAGGAGCTTTGTCATTTTCAGTTTGTTTAAGGCTTGATCTCAGTCATCCAGTGATATATCAGAATCACAAATTTCTCTGAATGCAGAATCGATTTTTGGAGTATAAGGTTCAATCTGATCACAAAAAGTTAATGAATCAGCAATTAAATATTTTGAGGAGAATAAATTGAGTAAAATTTATGTTTTTCTTCCGCTACAGTCTTATGATTTGTGCATTCCTCCCCATTTATGATTAATGTATTAATAGATTTCTTTTCTTGCCTCGTTTCTCCAAATTGTAGAAATATGAAGCACTTTTTCAGCTTCTTCTATCCATTTGCACGAGCTCTAATGTAAGCTCCATGAGCCTTTTTCTTGTATAGATCATCTAATTGAGTAAAGACAACAGGGATTTCTTATCAGCCTCTGACATAAAATGTCTATTACAATAGTTATTTATATCGTAAAGTAATTTACTTTCAAATTCCTTCTGTTGTCTACTTTTCATTTTACTAAACGTATTGAAAATTCTCTAACTTTAAATGAAAAAATTCCCATCTATGTATGTAATTGCCAATTGTTACGTTGTTGTAAATGTTATGGAGGAGCTCTTTAACTATCTTAACATACCCGTCATCAATTAATAGATCTGCATTTAATTTCCAGTAATCTTTTTTAAACTGCGTTTTATTTCAGGGTTAAGTTTAAAAGTAATAATACTGTGATCTGTCAACGGGGCTGCTGAGATGGAAACATGTGAAACATCTATATAGTAAAGTCGACCCAACCACAGTATGGAACGCCAGGAGTGCCATAATGAATTAATTAAATGCACCATTAATAATAAATTAAATGTGACAATAATAATTTGAAATTTGAAATAATTAATTAAATAAATAATTGTTGACACATTTAATTAATTATTTATTTATTTCACGTTTTAATTAATTATTGCCACATTTAAATAATTATTTAATGGTGTATTAATTAATTCATTTTGGCACAGTTGACTCCTTCAGGTCTCACCATAAATTTATTTTATGTGTCAACCTCACCCATCAAACCCAGGGGGCGGGTTAATGCTGATCGAGTCAGAACCATTGCTTTGGCCTGGTGGCCATTGTTTTTAGAAGGCGTTACTGCACACCAACAACTGCCATGTGGAAACTAACAGAACTGAACTTTGAAAACCCTGCTTTGTGTTTGTGTGTGGGATGGACTCAAGCGCAGACAAGGCAGCTAGAATACAGTTCCGTTTTTTACTATACAACACCAGGTGCAAATATATACAAGTGAGATGGCAGGGGGAATCCAGGGCACAGGGAATCCGGGAAAGGAGCTCTTCACACACGAGGGACTTCATAAAAACACAGCACACCAAGGGTTCCAGGGAAACGGAATTCCTGTTTACAGACAACAAGTGATTAATCCAAAGGGTCAGCGATAGAAAAGGCAACAAGAGACTAGTACTCCGGAGCTTACTACCGAGGTTACTCAATAGTCCAGCGACGAGATGTTTCCAGCCTCTGCCTTAAGTAGTGGATGAGTTTAGGCGATGAGCCACAGATGTGTGATTAACTTCAGGTGCAAGGGCCAGGGGCGGGAGCCCGCAATGAGCTCCGCCCTGGCGAGACACAGCTAGCGTGAGAGAGGTAGATGTAAACAAGAAACATATGTAGCCAACCTGAGTCAGCCGGGCAGACACGGGACCATGACAGTTTGTGTCTCACCAAATACCGTTTTAATATTTTTAGCCGAGAATGTAGCGGTTTAATCTTCAGATGTCTGGTCGGTTTGTCAAGATACAGCTTTTTGCAAAAGTGCTTCGATGATTTCGGAGATGTCTGCCCAGCCCAGTCTCACGGCAAAGCGTGGGACAGACCCGCTCGCCTCGCAAGCATCGAGCTGTTATTACCACCGACAAAGCGCAGGCCGGTACACAGCTGTAATAACCCCTGCTGACACTGACTTCATTTACTGAGGTTATATTTATCGAGTTTTTATCTCCTGATGTTCGTATGTGTCATACGTGTTCCAGTCGCCAATTCTGAATTATAACTAACATTAAAAACATGTTTAAGGAGGAGAGAGAGCAAAAAGATTCGATTAACATCTGATGTTGGGTTTTTGTTCAATAATCAGCGTGACCTGATAAACACATAAAAGAAATAACGTTGGTGTTTCCGTCATGTAGTAACTGTTAGGTTAACTGTACAAAGGTGGTTCGACACTATGAAACACACACAGACTTCATGATGTTCGCCTCGTTTTTTATTGTGAATATTAATCATGAGGGTAAACGGCCCTGTACACCACGGAGCGAGGTCAGCATGTCCACCATATCTTCAGCTCTCTGAGTTAACCCATCAAACTAATCTAATGCTCATCTACGAATAATTCACGGCTCATATCAATATTATTTACAGAAAATCATCCTTATTACTGCCAACTATTCCAGATACCATCAAATGTTAAAGGAAAATATCAGGATGAGTGTCTGTGAGCTGAGAAGGACGTGAAGCGAGCAGTTTATCCCAGAGCTGAAGCTACTCTGTGCGCAGAGATGAGCTCAGATTCCTGCTGTGATTGATCAACAGTCACAGAAATGTAGACTTGTAGTTATTACTGCAGTATGGTCACAGCAGATACTGATAAACATGTATTATGAGGATGGATGATCAAGTTTCTCACTCCTTTAAATCTCAGTTTTTTCTTCTTCACAGTTTATCTGTTAATTTATTAATGAATAACACTGAAAGAGTTTCTGTTATATTTCCCCTTGAACATCAGCTTATTAGGGCGGCATTAGGAAATAGCCCCCCTCCAAAGAATGAATAAATGAATGATGATAATAATAAAATGATCAAAAGCAGAGCTCAGAGTGGTAGAATGGTCAAACATGGATCCACGGGTGGTTCAACTGCATTTGGTGACGTGACTAAGCAAATCTTTCAATAATCCCACCATCAACGGGATGTTGTCTCCTTTACTACGGTTACTTTACTTGGTCACCGTGTGAGTTTCTTTGAAATGAACCAAATTCTTTTATTTGTTGGTTGTTGCATATTTAACCTCTACAGTCAGGAAAGGAGGAGATGAGGCCTCAACAATGTTGGGTTGTAGCTGTGGTTCAGCTTAGAGTGAGTGTCCATGGAATAAATGTAAGTCCGTGAACTGGAAACATGACTGTGTTCAAACTTTGTTTCCTTTTTATAATGAGTCTAATCAAAGGTGGACACAAGTATCTCCACTGTGACTTTTCTGTGTCACCATCAGAGCTTCTGCACAGTGTTTCTGGGGCAGATAACATTGCAGCATTATGGAGACATTATGGAGACAAAAAGAAAAGCGTCTGGACTTCTTTAAGTTAAACTTAAAGAAATCCAGACGCTTTTCTTGGACTGTTCAGTGTTGAGTCTCATTCACACACTCCCTCAGACTCTTCACACACTGATTTGCTGACATAAACACACTCCTGTGTGCTTCACACACACACTGAGGACCATCTACAGACTGTGAGCTCCGTCTTCTTTGTCTTTGGAGCCGAACTCTGACAAAGTTAGGAACAAAACTTTCTCCAGCGTGTGAACTTTCCTCCTAGACTCAGTCTGAGCAGTCAGACCACATATTTCTAAAGCAGCACATGAAGGTGTGGCTCACACACACACAGGTGAAGGAAACAGCTGCAGTATTAAAAGCTGCTTCACTGTCTACAAATATATGAACTGAATGTTTCTTTCAGGCTGTAAAAACCTTATTTATCCTCCATTACAGTCCTGCATTCAGAGCATTACTTCTGTTATATTAGTACATGTATTTTATTCTGATGAACACATGAAACTCTGAGCTGGATTGAATCCATTGAATCAGAGTCCAGGACTCAGACTAAACACACTGAATGTGTCCTGAGCTCGGCCGCTGTTCCACAGTAACTGCTGTCAGAGTCACTGTTACTGAGTTAGCTTAGCTAGCAGAGCAGCTAGCAGTTAGAGTATGAACTCTGTAAGCAGTCAGCTCGGTCCTGGACATGGTTACTGACATAAAGCTGCTCTCTGCAGCCATGTTTGACCTGCTGCTTTGTAGGACTACAGTAATGGATGATTTGGAGGCTGAACTGGGCTCTGTCACACTTTTTGTAGTGAACTGATGAAAGCTGTGTCTCAGATGGATGTTAGTCCAACACATCAGACACGACCTCTGCAGCTCTCAGTTGATGTGCACATGAATGATTTGTGTTTCCTCTGCAGGTGAAGGTAGAAAGTGTGTGTGAGCTGATGTGAATTGAGCAGCATGGATCAGTGTGAGGACAGAGAGGAGGGAGTCCCTCCCTCTAAAAGCACTCAGTGTGGGGAACATGAGAGCCAGACCAAAGCTCAGAGGTGAGATGACCATCTCTAACTGTCCATGACTCTTCTCCATGTCACAGCTCAGCACTCACATCACTGCTCCATCATTATTCACACTCATACCTCTGTGTGTGTGTTTTAAAGCCCAGAGCTGTGGGGCGTACCAGGCTCAGCTGGACATAACCCTGAAACTAATCCAGAACCTGGACCTGAACCCAGCTGTGTTTCCTTAAAGAGCAACATGTCGAAGGATGTTGGTGTAAAATTTAACAAAAGACTGTTATGTGACAAAGAGTAAGTACATTATTTTTATGAGATTGTTCATCATGTCTTTAATTTAATGTTCCAGTTTTTCCTTCCTGTCTCATGAAGCTGTTACATTTATTGTTTTTCTTTTAGGATCAATAAGAGGCCAGAATCTCCTGGACCTGAACCCAGCTGTGTTTCCTTAAAGAGCAACGAGTCGAAGGATGCTGTTATAAACTTTAAAGGCTGTTCTTCTGCTGCTGAGAGGTAATGTGTGTCTAGATGTTGTTCCTGACTCTGTGTTTTTGAATAAATCCTCATGTTTAATATCAGCTCAGCTCTTTTTCACACATTTCTATGTTGGTATGTGAAGCGGTGTGTGTTGGAGTGTTTCCACAAACACAGCAGTCAGAGTGGAAAGAGTGGATGTTGTAGGAGGTGTTTGTGTAGTGAAGAGGCTGAGTGTCTGTAGGACTCCAGCTGCTCCAGCAGGTGTCTCCTTTGTGCTTTGCTTCAAACACAGTGTAGGGAGGAGCTTCCACTCAGGTGTTTCAGGTGTTGCTGGATGGAGGAGGACAAATAGTTTTTCCCTTCAGTGACACTTCAGCAGCTCAATGTTCTGGGAGATGTTTGTCTTTATGAAGGTTTATGGATTCTTGTTCTTACTTTGGTTAAACTGAGCAATACATTTTCCATCTAACATTTAAAGTAAATTTCCAGGTGAATAAAAGATCTGCAGCTGCAGCCTCTGTGATGTTTCACAGTCTGAAAGTAACAAATTCAACCAGAGTTCAAACAAAGGCTTAATATACGTGTGTGTTTGATATAATGTCAACAAGTACAAATCGGTGTTCTTACAGGTCTTAATCACAGAGCTCTGATAAGTCTGGTGACTTTCACACTCAGCATTTTGCTGCCTTTTATTTTATATTGGCCTTTTTAAAGCCCTTCAAAGTCTCCCACATTCATACAGAGCTTTTAACACCAAACTCCTTTACAGTCCTTCTCCTCTCACACACGATCACACGACTGATTTGTCTGCAGCAGCTGTGTTACTGCTAGTATTTTATTATGTGTGTAATCTCCTCATATTGTTCCTGTGGTTTAGTTTGACTTCCTTCTGCAAACTCAGCTGCTCTGTTGCTGATACACGTCTCCATGAATATGATTGATCAGATGCTGCAACACCATGTGTTTCATGTGAGCGCTCAGCTGAAACCCTGGGTTGACTTATCGAGTTAATAACAAGCTTCACGTGACTGTGAATGCTAAAGTGAATCAGATAAAGGAAAGAGACCCTGCTAATGTTGGACTCACTTCTTAGTGTAGATCCCAGGAGGAAGTTCAACATAGCCATTCTTTGTGCTAGCTCGACCAAACCTGAGAGCACAGTGCAGGATAATGATCATCATCTGTCTCTGTCAAGGACATTTAAAATCCACAAATAACAAACATAATTATATTTGATCATTAAAAATGATGATTAAACAAAGTGTCAAACATACTTAAGTAGAAGGACTGATGTTTGTGTTAAAATACCCTCTTAAAGCTGAAATAATGATTCAACTTCGTTACTCAAGTAAAGGTAAAAGAGTACAGGCTCTGAAATGTACTCACAGTATTAAAGTAAAAACGCCATCTTTGAAGGAAATTTCTGCCAGTTTTTGTGCAAAGTTCCTGAATTTCTACCTCCAACATTAATAGGAGAAAATTATCTGAACTTTTATTCTAATGAATTTAATCAGCTTGAACATTTTGTAGCACAAAAGTAGAAAAAACCCAAAGGGAATCAAAAATAGCTCCATTTGCTGTTGCCTGCATTGTAGATGGGCGGCTTTGCCTCAACACCTAAACAGGAAAATGAGTTTAGTCAAGTATTAAAGTGGGATTGAAGAGGTGAGGAAACCAGAGATCAGGTGTTGTGGTGCAGCATTAAGATAAGATGGGGCCTGATTATTTAAGACCTTGTATGTGAGGAGCAGCCAATGAAGGGAAGCCAAAACAGGAGAAATCTGCTCTCTTTCTAGTCCCTGTCAGGACTCTTGCTGCAGCATTTTGGACTAACTGAAGGCTTTTCACTGAGTTTTTAGGACATCCTGATAATAATGAATTACAGTCGTCCAGTCTGGAAGTAATAAATGCATGAACTAGTTTTTCAGCGTCACTCTTTTTAGCATTTTTTAACAACAAGCTTCTATCTATTAGGGCTCTTGTTTCGCCGACTGCTGCCTCAGATCCGAGTCTTTCTCCTGTGTGCTCAGCTGTCTTAGAGCAGTTTGATCCCGTCTCCCTTAATGACTTGACTGCGGTAGTTCGTAACCTAAGATCATCACACTGCCCCTCTGATTGTCGCCCCCAACTACTCTTTCAAGGATTGTCAGGTTGGAGATTGGCCTATAATTAGCTAAGACAGCTGGGTCTAGGGATGCTTTTTAAGTAAAGGTTTAACTACAGCCAGCTAGGGATGGGTACCGTTTAGATTTGAAACCTGCTAAATCAGAATCAGTTGCTGATGACGGCTTTTTTCTTTTCCATCAATCACGTATAATCTTAACTCAAAGTGAACATAGACTTGATTGCTCAGATCAGCCAATTCAAAATGCTAATTCAATCAACTCTGAGTTCATGGCTAGACTCAGTTTGTTGGCCCTGCACCTAAAACTATTTCCTGTTTGTCTCTCGTGTTTTTTGGATATTGTTTTCACATCTTATGTCACGGCTAGCGGGGCGAGCCATGTTGAATTTAATAAAGGACCCAAGATGCAGACACTGCTGTGAAGTGAGTGAGCTTTATTGAAACGGTGAAGTGCAGTGGAGATGGCCTGTGCAGAAGCTAAGATAACCTCTACTGAAAAAACCAAAAAACTAACCTGAAACCTTAAACGGAGACACGGGGAGACAACACAGACGAACCAGCAACAAGCAGGAGAAAACAAAGGGCTCATATACACAAAAGAGCCATCAGGGAATGAGAAAAGGGAGACACAGCAGGATTCATTGGACATAACCAGACAAGGGGAAGCAAAAGTAGACACACTAACGTAGGACATGGCACTGTCAAAATAAAACAGGAAGTGAACAGAGACACAATACTAACACAGTACAGAGGGAACACAGAAACCAAAACCTCAGAACTAGAAAATCTTAATCAGAAAGAAATTGTAACAAAAGACAATAACAATCAAAACAAAACACTGAGTCCACAGACTCGGGACATACATCGGCTCAAACTGTGGTCATAAATATTTTGTACTTGTAAATCAGACTGTGGAGTTGTGAACTGAGTTTTGTAACATTGTAAAACAAAATATCTGGAAAGTTTATGTTTTTGCGTTCATTGATTTGTGTGTGTAAAAATGTAATAAATGTAATAAATGTAAGAAACATTAGAACTACTTTTGCTGACACAAAGTTTGGCGAGCACTGCAAGTTGTCCCTTTAAACCAGTCACTGATATAAAGAGAGCACCTTGTTCCAGGGCATCTGAGCATGGAGGGAAAGCTTTATGCAGGAGATGGTAAGAGCTGTTGGGACTAAAGAAACTGAGCAGAAAACTACAGACATCTGGAAACTGAGTTGTTAATTCTCAGTGGGATCAGCAGGACTAGCAAAGCTCCACCATGACAGTCATCTGATTGACTGAACCCATCCAAACATCACTTCATGGACCTTTAGCTTGTGTCTGTGTGTGGACAGACATAACATGAGCTAATTATCATTACTCCTCCACAGAGTGGACCAGCAGAGAGCAGAGGTTTCCACTGGTCAGTCTGCACAGCAGCATCAAACACACCTGGACTCTGTGGTTATGGTTTGTAGTACTACGTTTACATTTGTTCTTTTCAGTCACCTCTATGCTGCACTTTGTGGACTAGAGGATTGTCATTGTGTCCAACATAAATCAGAGTTTGGGCTCCATGATTTCAGTCAGATTGGGGTGACTGTAGCTCAGGAGGGGAGCAGGTCAGCTACTAGTCAGAAGGTTTGTGAATCAAACCCTGGCTGGCAAATGTACTGGGTAACGTACTAAACCCAAGCTGCCCTCTGATGCATCCATCAGAGTGTGAAAGAAAGTATTTAAGCATAGAACAATGTGCTTGGTTGAATGAGGCATGTTGTATAAAAAGCTTTGTGTGCACAGAGTATCAAAGAGAGCTATATAAGAACCAGTCCATTTACCACTGGGTAATTCATATAGTCTTCTTTTCCAGCGGCTGGAGGACAACATCACCATGTTTGTGAAGAACGAGCTGAAGAAGATCCAGAAGCTTCTGAGTCCAGATCACCCAGAAACTTTAAAGAGCCAGATGGAGGATGAGGAGATGTTTGAAGGAGAGGATGAAGATGAAAGAAAGAGCTGCAGAGAAGCATTTCTGAAGATCACACTCCACTTCTTGAGGAGACTTAAGCAGCATGAGATGGCTGACCATCTGCAGAGCAGTAAGAGAATTTCTCTAAAGACTGAATATTGATCTTTCCTAATAGCTCAAGAAATGGACCAATAGACATTCATCCTTTCAGGGTACTGAAAGGCTATGATATTTATTATATAATATTTGTTTCTGAATTTCTTACCTTCAGAAATATTTGCTCCACTCTGTAAACGGAACTTAAAGCCCAACTGAAGAAGAAGTTCCAGTGTGTGTTTGAGGGCATCGCTAAAGCAGGAAGCCCAACCCGCCTGAATCAGATCTACACAGAGCTCTACATCACAGAGGGAGGGACTGCAGAGGTCAATGAGGAACATGAGGTCAGACAGATTGAAACAGCATCCAGGAAACCAGACAGACCAGAAACAACAATCAGACAAGAAGACATCTTTAAAGCCTCACCAGGAAGAGACGAACCAATCAGAACAGTGCTGACAAAGGGAGTGGCTGGCATTGGGAAAACAGTCTTAACACAGAAATACAGCCTGGACTGGGCTGAAGACAAAGCCAACCAGGACATCCAGTTCATATTTCCATTCACTTTCAGAGAGCTGAATGTGCTGAAAGAGGAAAAGTTCAGCTTGGTGGAACTTGTTCATCACTTCTTTAATCAAACTAACGAATCAGGAATCTGCAGGCTTGAAGACTTCCAGGTTGTGTTCATACTTGATGGTCTGGATGAGTGTCGACTTAATTTGGACTTCAACAAAACTAAAATCCTGACTGAAACAAGAAAGTCCACCTCATTGGATGAGCTGCTGAC